CTTACTCCTACACTTCAAGTATTCAATAACAATAAATCTCACATATTTATTTTATACGAATCCACTTGTTCTCCACTTATTTTATTTAAAATTATTATTTAAAACTTTCCTGCTATCTTTTTCTTATTTTTATATTTATTTAATGCCCACTTAGGAGTTTATGTGAGGTTTGAAATCCCAAATATGATTTAAAAACATAAACCTCTTCTTATAGTGGTAAACATTGGAGCTTGTGTTCTTGAACATCTCCAAAACTATTTTACTATGCCCTAAGGCTCTCAATATTAAAAGCTAACTTATTCTTAAAACTACTTATTAAATAATAATACTAATACTTATATCTCTTGATACTTATATTATATCCGCGCGAGTAAGTCATAGCAAAAACCATGATGGAATACATTATGTATGCATATGCCTCATTATGTAGGTCATGTGCCTCATCTATATCTATATCTATATCTATATAAATATAAAAAGGTTTGGTATTTACCTGTAATAGTAACTAAAATCTCGCCAAAATTCATCTTTACTTTTATTAGTAATTTTTTTTTGGAATTGGCGGTCATATTTTGAAATTTGAATTACAACAATCAATAAAATCTGTATAAAATATATGAATGGATTCACGTACCATACACAGACACCACATATCTTTGTTAATATAATCACATCGATCTTTTTCAGAAAAGATAAACGAAAGATTCATACATATCAAAGTTCGCCCGTCTATGACGCATCCCAGCGGCAGCACCGTTACGGCGGTGCGATTGCGGTCGAGGGCATACACAACCGATAGGTTTGGCTCGTAAGCGGCGACAATCGACGAGGAAATGAGAGCAGCTCGGCGACCGACAGACGCGACTATCTGGTGTGACGACTGTTTGTTCAGATTTGGCAACGTCTCAGATCCGTGGCTGAGGCTTGGACCTCCACCGCCTTGCCGATGCTAAATTCTTCAATTCCTTCCAGGATGATTTCGATGATGAAGACGTCAACTGTTTTGCCAATCTCAGT